TGTTATCTAAAATAGATCTTCTAGCAACGAAGGCACCTTGAACCTCATCAATCAGAGCAGGCAGAGCTTCCTTCAGTCTCACACAGATCATTTTAGCTATGACTTTGTAGAGAACATTGCAACAAGCTATTGTTCTAAATTGGCCTACCATTGTTGCATTGTCAACCTTTGGCACAAGAGTGATCAGAGTATTGTTGACTTGCTTAAGCAACCTTCCATGTCTTAAAAAGTCAAGCACAGCAGAACACAAAGCATCTTTAACAGTACTCCAGGCAGCCTTGAAGAAACAACTAGGGAATCCATCAGGTGCTTTATTGTCATCCATACTCCACAGGGCACTTCTAACATCCTCAGCATTAAAATCTCTACACAGATGGGCTCCCTGATCAGCATTTAACACTAGCCCCTCATCAATGACACTGTGATGGAGCTTTCTTTCAGCATCAGAATGGGTACCAAGCATATTCTTATAGAAATTAATGAACATGTCAATAATTCCTTTAGGATCATTAATAACCATCCCATCATCATTCTAAATACTAAAAATGCTATTCTGCACCCTTCTCTTCCTAATGCAAGCATGAAAGAAACCAGAATTCATATCACCTTCCCTAGTCCAGTGTGCCTTAGCCTTCTGCCTTAAGAACTTGAGTTTAGCTGTATGGGCTGCACTGTGTCTTCTCCTAGCCTCCCCCTCTCTAGCAATCAGGCTAATATCCTTAGGGTCCTTATTCAAGTCACTTTGGGCCCTAGCCAGTGCATCAACAGCTCTAGCATCCTCATCTTCAACATGAGACTTCAATTGAGAATTAAATCTTTAAGTCTTGCTTTCACATTCTTCAAATTCTGAACCATCTTGAATATAGCAGTCCCTTGAACTTGAGATTGCCAAGCCTCACTAACTACCCTTGTGAATCCTGCACAGTCAATCCTGTGATTGAAAAATTTAAAAGGTTTCTTACCTTCATTAGAGACTCCTGGAAAACTCACAACACATGGACTGTGATCCATTAATCCTTCGAGCAAGAACTCAGCATGAGCTTGCTGAAAATCGGAGAACTAAACCTCATTGCAAAAAATCCTGTCAATCTTGGAACAGACCCTGTCTGAGCCTTCCTGTTTATTGTTCCAAGTATAATACATACCACTAGAGTTAAGCTCAATTAGACAACTATTCCTAAGGCACATCTTGAACTTCTCAACTTCAGCCAAGGAAACTGTAGACCCTATTCTGTCTTCAGTGTTCAGGACATTATTGAAGTCACCTCCTATGATCCAAGGATCCTTCATCCTACTGTTGATATTCACAATACTATCCCATAGCTGATATCTCAAATTAGGATTATTAAACCCATACACTACTGTATACCAGAAGACCACACCTGAACCTTTGTGATGAACTTTCAAATGAACAAACTGAGCATCTACATCAACTATTTCCACATAAAGAAAATCCGGTTTCCATATAACCTAAATCCTTCCACCAGGGTGTTTGGAATAGTTCGCACTAACAACCCAATCACCCCCAAAATTAGAGAACACAGAACCAAACTTCACAGTCTTGACCTTAGTTTCGAGAAGCCCAAATAAACTGATATGATGATGTTTTAAGAACCACAAAACATCACAGACTCTATCAGTTTGATTTAAGCCTCTAACATTCCAAAAACCCAGACTATCCATGAATAGGGTTGGTATGTGCTCCACCTCCCACACTACCAAACAGCACCTTTCCACTGCTAACAACCTTCCAACCATCCTCAGCAAGATTCATTTGGCTTTCAGTATTCAAATCATCCAAGGTAAACTCCCCATCCTCCTTGCCATTCAAGCTATTTAACACTGAGAATCTTCCTTCACCTCCTGTAAATCTATTGCTTACTACATTCTTTTGATTTTGAGGTTGCTGATTCTGAGGTTGTTGGTGTTTCCTGACAGGCCTCCAAACTTTTTGAACCTGAACTGGCTGCTGATTTCTCTTAGCAGTCCTCATAGAAGGACATGACTCAGCTCTATGCCCCAACCCTCTACATTTGGAGCAGATTACAGGCTCCCATTCATAAACAACAGCCTGACTAACCCAGCAGCCATTCTCATCCATGAATTCAATAGTCTCAAGAGGTTCAATACCAATCTTGACTTCCACAAGCAATCTTGCATAAGCAATGAGTTCCTTAGTAGCAGTAGCCCTGTCTGTTTTAAGAGGTTTGCCAACTAGGCCACCTATTTTCATCAAAGTGGACTGACCCCAGAATCTAAGGTTAAGCCTAGGGAGCCTAACCTAGACTTGAACAGCCTCCACCTTCTCCTCTTTAAGATCCAATCCTGGAGCCCATTTCTTGGCAATCACAGGTTTCTTATCAAAGAAAATGGGTCCAGCATTCAAGGCTTTCTCTTTACCTGCCTCTTCCTTGAATTTCACCACAAAAATACCATTGTTCATTAGGTATATTTTATCTACTCCAAACTTTCCCCACATCCTTCGAACAAATCCCGAAAAATTAGCAATGTGCGGTTTAGCACACAAAACATAGCAGGCAATCGCACTATTCCAGTAATCAACTTTAGGTTGCACATCTTCCATAATTAACTTCAAAGCCCCATTACTGGTTTCTTTGTTTCTAGATTCCTTCAAACATCCTCTAGATTGACTAATATACATACCCTCATCAGTGATAATATTAAACTGAGCTTTCCAATTCATGCCCGATTAAGTACCCGAATTCTCAGAAACCCCAAAAATAGGGCATCTAGGGTTAGGGGTGCAATTAGAATCAATGGCTGAATTGTTACCATGATTATCATTACATAACATCATAATAAGGGTTGGATTAATCAAATTCAAATGATTAATATCATGTTGTTCAAGATTACTAGAATTCAAATCATCAAACACTTCGTCCTCTGTTTTCTCATTCATCATCAAAGGGGGGGAAGAAGAATGGATTACCTTCAGCCATTGATTAAATTGCTCCCGGTGCAACTCCTTTTCTTCCTCCGACACCTCCTTGACAAGAATTTCCTCTATCGAAGCCTTCTCTAGCCAGTTATCAATGGAACAGTGCACAGAACCTACACTAGCATCATCCTTCTTCGTGAACTTCTTTGCACTGGGAGGGGTCTTCTTCTTCTTCTTGGATTTGGAATTGGAAGCTTTCTTGGCCTTCTTCCTCCCTTTAGCCATGGCAGAAACCTCAAGAAAGGGGGCAGAGCCACCCCCTAACCAAAAAACACACGCATTTCTTGCTCTCTTTCACTTTCTCTCTCTAGGACTTTCTCTCCTACTTTAACTTTCATTTAATTCTATTAGCTTTGTAGAACGCATTTCACTTTCATTTGATTCAAATAGCCTTGTTTGAATGCGTTTTACTTTCATTTGATTCAATTAGGTTGTTGAATGCATTTGACTTTCAGCTGATTCAAAAAGCTTTGCTTGAATGTGTTTGATTTTCATTTAATTCCATAAGCTTTGTTTGAATGTGTTTGACTTTCATTTGATTCAATTAGCATTGTTGAATGCATTTGATTTTCTTTTGATTCAAAATGCTTTTTTTGTTTTTTTTTTTTTTTGGTAAATAGAAAATTTCATTACCAAAAGGAGCTACAAAGCAGTAAAACAGTAATACAAAAAGCCCGAAGGCCTAAACTCCGAAACACCAAAAGCCCTTAAGGGCAAACAACCACCAGCCAAGGACTAAGGATCAAAGGCCACCTTCTAGGAAGGGTTCCAAAGAACCTTGGGCCAAACACGGCTCTTATAAACTCAATGGAAGGGAGCTACCCTCTTTGAGGATTACCCGAAACCAAAGGAACATGATAACAACTAGCCAAAAGCTTACAAAAAAATGAACCAACAATAGCAAAAGAAGAAGCTAATGCCCAAAACAGCAAATAAAAGCCAAAAGGCCGACAACAACTGGCAACACACTTCAGGCAGCAGCAAGGATAGGCAGCAAGCAGAGAACGAACAAGCAACAAGCAGCATTGAACACACCAGCAGCCTGAACCAACAGAGAACAGCCAGCAGCAACATATACAGCAAAGCCACAGCCACAGCAACAACAATGCAAAAACAGAAACAGCAACCAGAAACCAGCATTTGCAAGAAGCCAGAAACAAAACCAGAAGCCAGCAAGAGCTGGTACACCTGCAGGCAGCAGAGAACATAAACCAGACAGACAACACGTAACACAGAAGCAACAGAGACACAACAACAACAAAACCAGCAACAGAACAGCCTGCACATAACCCAACACCTGAACAGCAGCAGACTAATTAGCAGCCCAAACTAGCAGACAACAGGCACACATCAATAACATGTAGTAAGCAATAGGCAATAAATACACTAACCACACCAGTAGCACCAACAAGCCAGCCAGCTACAAACAAGGCAGCAACACCAAATAACCAGAAAGCAGCCTGAACCAGCAGTGATCCAGCTCAGCACATTGAATCTTAACAGCAGCAGCGGGGTAAAAAGTAATAGCAACAACTAGCAACACCTGCAAAGAGCCAAAAACACAACACAAAAGCCAGCAGCACCTGACACACAAGCTGCAGACAACAGAACCGAGAAAAGAAAGAATGCAGCCAGCACAGAACCCAATAGAAGCCACAACAACAGCTCAAACTAGCAGCAAGCAGAATAAACCACCGGCTAAACATCCACTTAGCATTAAATCATGAGATTTCTGAGCATCTACAAGAAACTCCAAACACAATATTCCGAAACACGGAGTTAGATTCAAAAAGCTTTGCTTGAATGTATTTGACTTTTATTTGATTCAATTAGCTTCGTTTGAATATGTTTGACTTTCATTTGATTCACTTAGCATTTTTGAATGCATTTGACACTCACTTGATTCAAAAAGATTTGTTTGAATGTGTTCGACTTTCATTTAAATCTATTTGCTTTGTAGAATTCATTTGACTTTCATTTAATTCAAATAGTTTTGAGTGAATGTGTTTGACTTTCATTTGATTCAATCAGCTTAGTTTGAATGCGTTTGACTTTCATTTGATTCTTTTTTTTTTTTTTGGGAATTAAGAAAAATTTTATTACCATAGAATGAACGAATAAAACTTACAAACAAGGAAGAAGCAAAAACACGAGACAAAACCAGCCCGAGGGCACACAACCACAACTACCACCCAACAATGTTTAAAGCCACCTTCTAGGAAGGGTGCCATGAACAGCGAGGGGCACTACCTAGCCTCAAACAAGAAGGTACCTTCTAGGAAGGGTACTTCGAGCAAGGACTAGGACAAAGAAAACACCCAAATAAAGCAAAACAAAACCAAACACCAGCCAAACAGTCCACAACCAAGACAGCAGCTAGACAAAAACAGCAGCTAAAGAAAACAACAGGCTTAGCATAAAGACAAAACCGAGCCATTAGAAAACAGCACAGCTCAAACCAGAGAAGCAGGCACAGTAGCTCAAAACCAAACAAACTACTGCAGCACCAAAACAACAGCAACCCTGAAGTCAGCTTTCAAGCTAACAGAAACTAGTACAACACTATCAGCAGCCTACAGCAACCTCAGCCCTCCCACAGCCAAACCAGAGCTAGAAGCAGCCGGCACTAGTAACAGCAACTCAGCAGTCAGAAATAGAAACCTGACCAGGCATCAGAGTCACAAAAACCAAAAAGGGAATAGAAACCAGAACAGAAACAGGACACATCAGAAAATGGTCAGGAAGGCAAATTGCATCTCAAAGCTTGTAGCCATTTGCAGTGAACCCGAGACCAGGAGCTGTCAATCAACGGTTGCAGTCTGCTCAAAATCTCTAAGCATATAGAAAAGCAAAGCTTCGAAGGGAGAATTACAGCTTTTTCCCAAAAAGCATGGTTTCTAGCAAACCAAATATAATAGACACAGGAAGAGAAAGCAGCTAGATATACTTTCTTATGAATCTTATCCACACCTTAGATATACTTTCTTATGAATCTTATCCACACCTTTTCTCTTCCAATGTTTCCAAGACAAAACCAAATTAAAATTCCTCTCAGATTTCCCGAGCCAAGTTGCAATGATCTTCAAGCAGGACCGACTGTAATTACACTCAAAGAATAAGTGCTCATGTGTCTCATAGTCAATGCCACAAAGAAGACAGTGGGGATCATAACTGCAACCAAAAGAAATCAACCTATCTTTGGTCTTCAATCTTGACTGAGCATCCAGCCACGCAATATAGGAATATTTTGGCACATTGTACCTATTCCACACCCAAGTATCCCATCCAACCTTAACAAGAGGCCCCTGCAACCATTTATAACAATCAGAGATCTTGTAAGCTTTGTTAGTCCAATTTCCAGTCTCAAAACCCTGTTGAAGCTCATCATCCACCACACATAGCTTCCTCCAAAACCAACCGTCACTCTTCTTAGGGCTATAGGACCTCCAATCACTATCTTTCAAGTATATACTATGGACCCATTTTACCCACAGAGTATCTTCTTTCTTAGCAATTTTCCACACATACTTCCCCAAAGCGGCCTTATTCCATCTACTACAGTCCCTCATTCCTATTCCTCCATACTTCTTAGGCTTGCACACCCAGTCCCACGAAATAGGGGAGCTCCACCTAGCACAGCACCTCCATCCCATAAAAAAAGATCTACATAACTGAGTGATCATATGAATACCACCCTTAGGAAGAAGGATACATTGACCCTAGTAAGAATGAAGACTCAGAAGCACAGAGTTTATAAGGGTAGCCCTTGCAGCATAAGACAAGACAAGTTCCTGCTCGACCAACAAGTAATACGGGCCAACATTTTATCGATAATGCTATCAAAATCAGAGCTTCGCATATACTTGGCATTAAGCGAGATCCCCAGATATCTAAAAGGAAAATCACCCTTAATAAATCCATATCCATCTAGAATCTCCTCCTCCTTTACAGAATCCATGCTACCACAATACACAGCTGTTTTCTCGGGAGAATGACTAAACCTAAAATCTTCTCAAAAGTTCTTAGAGCCCTAAGAAGAAGGGAGAATGACTTTTTATCGCCATGACAGAAAAGCATTAAATCATCGGCAAAAACAAGATGAGTCAGCCCCAAATGCTTACACCCTTGATGAAATTTGTAGCCTTCCATACTCCCCACTTTCCGTAGGAGTCTAAACAAATATTCCATGACCATGACAAACATCAAAGGAGAAATAGGATCCCCTTGTCTAACACCTCTCTTCCCTTTGAAAAAAACCATGCAGCCCTCCATTAAGCATCACAGAATAAGGAGTGGTAACACATTCCATCACCCAACCAACAAACTGAGGAGGAAAATTAAGGGCAACCATCATATCCTTGTTGAAAGACCAATGAACCGAGTCATAAGCCTTCCTCATATCAACTTTAACTGTGCAACGAGGAGCCTTCCTTTTATTATTGTAATTTTTCAGCATGTCCTGGCAAACCAAAATATTATCCAGTATAGATCTACCCTCAACAAAAGCACTCTGATTTTCACTTATCAAGTAAGGTAACACAGTTTTTAGCCTAGTACACAAAAGTTTAGAAATGATCTTGTACAAGACGTTACAACAAGCAATAGGGCTAAATTGTGAAACATATACGGCATCCTCTGTTTTTGGAACCATGGTGAGAAAAGTATTGTTAACTTGTTTAAGCAAACATCCATGATCAAAAAACGACAAAACAGCCTCACAAATATCACTCTTAATAATATCCCAAGAAGCTTTAAAAAACTTACTTGAAAAACCGTCGGGGCCCGGGGCTTTATCATCGTCAATACTCCATAGGGAAGATTTCACATCCTCCTCTGTAAAATTCGTAAATAAACTAACTTGCTGGTCATGATCAAGAACACTACCAACACCAATCACAACATTATGAGTAGTCCTCTCTGGCTCAGACCTAGTGCCCAGGAGCTTTTGATAATAATCCATGAATGCTTTAACCACCTGACTAAGAGACTGGATAATTTGATCTTCATGAATAATACTACATATCCTGTTCCGAATCCTTCTCTTTTGAAGATAAGCATGAAAATATGTCGTATTCACATCACCTTCCTTTATCCAGTGCAATTTAGCTTTTTGCTTCAAGAAGGAGTACCTAGCAGAATGGGCTTCTTGAAAAAGGGCTCTAGCCTGCTTCTCCTCACTGATTAGATCCTCATTTAAAGGGTCTAAATTCAGTTTTTTCTGAATATTCAGAAGCTTGACAGAAGCATCAAGGTCAGCAGCTTTAATCATAGAAAGAGAACTCAACTGACCCTCTTTAAGCGCCTTCTTGACTGCTTGCAATTTCTTGACTACACAGAACATCGCAGTCCCTCTGACATTAACACCCCACGCAAGCTTAATAACATCCAAAAAACCCGGCGCACTCGTCCAATAATTAAAAAACTTGAACGGTTTCACAGAGTTGTCATTTACCCCAAAAATATTGATGCAGCACGGACTATGGTCCATCAAACCTTCAGGAAGGAACGTAGCCGTGGTATTGTTGAAGCTTGTCATCCATGCACTATTAATCAAGAATCTGTCAATTTTTGAACAAACACGATCTTGCCCTTGTTGTTTATTGTTCCAAGTATAAAACAGACCCCCAACATTAAAATCAAAAAGTCCATTGTTCTCCAAGCATTCTCGAAAATCCTTGACTTCATCGAAAGTACAAGGGGAGCCTATCCGATCCTCAAGATTAAGGATGTTATTAAAATCCCCCCCAATAATCCACGACTGACTATTATTACTCGCAATTTTAGATAAGTGCTTCCACAATTCAATATGTCACTTTGGATCATTGAGACCATAAACCATGGTAACAAGCATCACACTACCACAAGCATTATGCCTTACTTCCATGTGTATAAGCTGCTCCTCAATTCTCAACACGTTGACCTGAAAAACAGTAGCAAGCCATAGCACCCAAATTCTTCCCTTTTCACTTTTTGAATAATTAGCAACAACCGACCAATCTCTATCAAAACTACTAAAAACCGAGCCAAACTTCTTTGCTTTAACTTTTGTTTCCATGAGCCCAAATAAGCCAAGGTTATGATGATTCAAGAACCACGAAACATCACACCTCTTTTTAGGCAAATTTAGGCCTCTCACATTCCAAAAACCGACACTATCCATGAAGAGAGTATGAGCAATCTCCCTCCTCCATATTCCCATACAAAACCCGGCCTTCCTCAATACAGCACAAATTTCCAATCCTTTGAGAATCATGAATTATTTCACTAGGAACCTCATTTTCCTCAATTTCCAAACAATCAAATCTATTCTCTGTAATAACACTACCTGTCAAATTTTCCTGAATAACTGCATTTGGAGTAGCAACCTGAGTAGCAGTCTGAGCATGATTCTGCTGCTGATTCTGGACAGGCCGCCAGTCTCTTCTCATAGGGACATTACGAGTACCTCTTCTCCTATCTTGTTGTGTTTGCCATTGCATAGGACACTCACTTTCACTGTGACCCATACCAGTACAACTCCGGCAATGAATGGGCTTCCACTCATAAATAACTCTCTGAGAAACATTAGCACCCACTTCATCCAGAAATTCGATTTTTGTTGGATATTCACCATCAACTGAAACTTCTATCATCAACCTTGCATACTCAAGTTTCTCCTTATTTTTTGTGACTTTGTCAGTTTTCACCGGCTTACCTATTAGCTGACCTATCTTCATTAGAGCACTTTGACCCCAAAATTTCAACTGGAGCCCAGGCAGCCTGACCCAAATAGGAACTTCACACACACCTTCCTTATCTAAGTTTATACCTGGCTCCCATTTCTTCATGATAACTTGCCTACTATCAAACATAACAGGTCCACCATTCATAACCTTTTCCATGTTTTCCTTACTCCGGAAACGAACTAGGTAAACCCCACTCGGGAGTAAGTTAATCCTGTCAATCCCAAACCTTCCCCAAATACGTCTAATGAAGCCATTCATAACAAAATAAGGCACTCTAGCTCCCAAAGCATAGCAGATAAGCGCAGAACTCCAAAACTGCACCTCAGGATCAACATCTTCAGCCAGCAGTTGCAATTTGCCTCTATTTTCACATTCACCAGGATCATTTTGACGACATCATCCAGAAAGATCAATACCCTCATCTCTGGTATTGCGAAATAGAGCACTTCATCTTCTTGAACCCCCATTCCTAGATTCAGAAGAAGACCTAGGGTTCGGGGTTACCAAAGTTGGAGGTGTTTCACGAAGGCTAGGAGTATTATTCATAGTCAAACCAAAAACTGACCTACTAGAAATGGAGTTACCATCTCTGATCATCATTAGAGGAGTCGGGTTTATAGGGCCCGACTGAACTCCAGCTGACCCGGTTACTGTTCCATTGAAATCAACATCAGACAAAGGTGAGTTTTGATGAATAACCTATAACCACTGATTAAGATCCACAGCATGCCGCTCCTTATCTTCTTGGGAAACCCTCTTCAATGGATCATCTTGCTCATTTCCATCAAGCCAGCTAACCTCCGAACCAACCCCCTCTTCCTGATTTTGCGATTACTTTGAGTTCAAACGGGTTCTAGGTTTCGGACCTTTTTTCTTCTTGGACTGAGATGAAGAGCCTTTATTCCCTTTACCTTTCTTCCCCTTAGCCATGGCTCAATCTAGGGTTTTAAGGAAAGAAAAAATGGTGGAAAAGAAAGAATTTCTCTCTCTAGACTTTCATTTGATTCACTTAGCATTGTTGAATGCATTTGACTTTCATTTTATTCAAAAAGCTTCGTTTGAATTTGTTTGACTTTCATTTGATTCAATTAGCTTTGTAGAACGCATTTAACATTCATTTTATTCAAATAACTTTGATTGAATGTGTTTGACTTTCATTTTATTTAATTAGCACTGTTGAATGCATTTGACTTTTATTAGATTTAAAAAGCTTTATTTGAATGTGTTTGACTTTCATTTGATTCAATTAGAATTGTTGAATGCATTTTACTTTCATTTGATTCAAAAAACTTTATTTGAATGTGTTTGACTTTCATTTAATTCAATTAGTTTTGTAGAATTCATTTGACTTTCATTTGACACAAATTACTTTGTTTGAATATGTTTGACTATCATTTGATTCAAAAAGTTTTATTTGAATGTGTTTGATTTTCATTTGATTTAATTAGAATTGTTGAATGCATTTGACTTTCAATAGATTCACAAAGCTTTGTTTAAATGTGTTTGACTTTCATTTGATTCATTTAGAATTGTTGAATGCATTTGACTTTCATTTGCTTCAAATTGCTTTGTTTAAATATGTTTGACTATCATTTGATTCAAAAAGCTTTGTTTGAATGTGTTGACTTTCATTTAATTTAATTAACATTGTTGAATGCATGTGACTTTCAATAGATTAAAAAAGCTTTGTTTGAATGTGTTTGACTTTCATTTGATTCATTTAGCATTGTTGAATGCATTTAACTTTCATTTGATTCAAAAAGCTTTGTTTGATTGTGTTTTGGGGTTTTTTGTGTTATTTGATAGAGTTGCAATTCCAAGACTGGATTCCGGGTGCTTGTACCTGCAAAACAACGGAGACTTCGATTTGATGGAGTTCCGCCTCCGATGATCAAGTTAGAACATGTTCGGAAGATTAAAAGTGCGGAATGTAAGGTGGGATCAGGTTTCTCTATGGTGAGAAGTGATCATCCGGCTATCACAGACGGCCTCAATATCTGAGTATCTACTCTCGTGTGTAATTAGTTCTGTAATTAATGCCCCGGTTCCCAAGTCAAAACATCTACCTTTTATAGGATCATGGGGTTTGTGCCCATCCTAGGTTACGGACTCCTAGGACTGATGGGCTACCTACGATTTTGGGCCAGAAAAACCGCCATTCCTTTGTTGGCCATCTGTCTGCCACATGCGTGCCCTGATTGGTCTACTTTGGGCTCTTCTATGGATGACACGTGGAGGACTCTGGTTGGTCCACGTGGTGGGGTAAAAATACCCTTATCATGTGCCCCTCACAGGGTTGACGTGGCTTGCCACGTGACGCTTGTGACATGTGTCACAAGCGGATAGGTGAACGATATTTTTACAGTTTACCTTCTGGAATAAGTGTCAGGGGTGCCCCTTGACATTCCTACCCCTCTATATAAGGGTCCTAATGCCCTTCATTTTCGCATATTCTCAAGATAGTTTCGGACATAGAATCTTTGACTTTAGGAAAGAACTTGTCTTTTTCTAAGAAAAGCACCTGCCTCTTGCTATCTGACTTTCTGTTTCTACAGCCGCCCAAGACTTTTTTCAAGCGTCTATAGCACCTTCAAACCAAAGGTAACCGCTTGCTTTTCTCATTTTACTTTGTTTCTTTTCTTTTTAAAAATGGTTTCCCAAAAGCACATGGCACAGCCTAGGTTAGTGATCAGCAGGTCACCGGGGACGGCTGAATCTAAAACTAGGAGTGCCGATTTTCCATGCTAGACCACCCTTTGTGAACTTCTCCGAGTTCGACTGTCTCTGTATCTGTGCAGGACACCATGGCCAGAATTAAACAAACAGCCAGGCAGCAGAACCCGGACAGCTCCTTTAGGGCGCCTGTTAATGAAGTCTCTGATCTGCCTCTAGCACCCCAAGTATCCCCAATGATTCTATTTTGCAAGAAACAAGGGAGGAGTTTGACAGTGATTCCTCTAGCTCTATTCGACAGGTCCCCCCTGGCGGACGCTAGGTCCGACGGCTCAGACAGTGAGTCCGAGCCAAGTAGAGTCTCTGATGACTCTGATGAAAAGCGCTATCGGCTAGAGACAGTAAGAGAGTCCCTTTCTGTAGAAAACGGCGAGGGCTGGGCCGAGCCGTTTGCTACCCGCCGATAGCAATTTGCTACTTATTATCATCACATTCCCGCGGGCAGACGAAAGCTGACAAGGTGGGGAGTGTTAGAGTTGACCATGTCATGGGACATGGCTTCATTTTGTGCGTGCCGGATGCTGAGGACATCGTAGTCTGGCCAGCGGGGTCAAGCTACAATGATGAATGCTTTGGGTGCTATGAGGCGGCCATTCAGGCTGGTCACAGATTCCCCCTCCATCCGGCCGTGGAGAGAATTCTTGATGGATACCAGCTGGGTATCTCGCAACTTGCCCCAAACTCTTGGGTAAATATTCTGGGCTTTGTTGCAGCCTGCGAAATATTAGAGGTGGACCAAAGCTTTGAGGCGTTTGCCCATATGCACTATCTCAGCCGAACCCAAAAGCAAGCGGATCCGGTTGGTACACTTTATCTAGCCACAAAGGCTATATGATGACAATTGGGAAGGAAAACAAATGGAAGGACTGGAGAAGCAAGTTCTACATTGTTTCTTCCCCTAACATGATAAAAAACCAAAAAAAAAACACTCGGTGGAACCGGAACCCCCCTGCTCCCAGGTAGAACTAAATTGCCGCGTGTTCCCAGAAAGGCTAAAGAGCATATTTTAGACAAGGGTCTTTTCAAAGCGAACATTCGGTCAAATGAGGAGACTGAGGTGAAAGAGGTCATCCCCCAAAGTTATAATCCCCGCTATGATTGGCTATCTGATGGGGATTATCTGGCCGCCTACGGTCTGAGTGTAGAGAGGCCAAGAGGTAGATTACCGAATGTGTTTAGATTTTTAGTAAGACTTAATTGTTTTGTTCAGCTTACTTAACCATTTAAATCTTCGTATGCAGATAAAGCAATAGAAAAGCTCTCGTCCACAAAAAAGTCGGCTGCCTACTACTACTCGCTTTTGGGTAAGCAGAAAGGCGAGGAGCCGGATGCCGCGAAGACGCCCAAGGTGAGCCACATTCTTAAATCTGGCTAAGTTTGATTTATTTTTCCCGCCTGCTTCTCACTCATTTTGGTTTGTGTGCAGGGCAATACCTTTAAACCCTCTCTTTCTTCTCGACCGAACCCGAAGCTTCAAAAGCAGACGGTCGACGATGTGGGGACTCCTGGCAGGTCCAAGAAACATGTGGCCAATACGCCAGGAAGGACCCATCCTCTAGCTTGGGGAAAGTCCCTAGCCGGCCCTGGGAGTAGCCAGCCCCTAAGGGAGAAGAGGGAGAAGGCGGCTGCCAAAGGTATTACAAGCTTTAATCCCTTGCCTTACCCTTGTAGGGTCAAGTTCAATCAACAGTCAACGAGTACTACTGAAAGCAGCCGGTCTATAGGTCGAATTTACACCAACTATTTACAAGGTGTTGAATGTGCAAATGTCCCTCAAAGGCCGGATCTTAAACAGCTAGCAAAGACCATGCTGAGAGCCATCTCCCTCGAGGACAGGAAGTCTGTTAGAAAAGTCGGCACCCTCAACCTTGATGCCATTCTTGCTCTCCTCGCTGAGGTACTTTAACTTGCTATTTTTACTTTTTTGCGCAACTCTTTGAGCCGCCAGGTACTGATGTTTTCCCTTCTTTGCCAGATGCAGTCTTTGTTGCGAGTGCACGGTCTTAAAAAACCGCTCAGCGAGAAGACCAAAGAGGTAAAAGCTGCGAATGCTCGCTCCACCTCTTCTCTAGGCACGGCCATGTTTCAGATTGCTCAAAATGAATTATTGACCAGTGACAATATATTCTCAGGCGGCCGCCAATCTGCAGGTCAAGGCCGATTTGGGTGTGGAGAAGAGGCGGATCTCCGAGCTGGAGAAGGAGGTTAAGGACCTCAAGGCTAAGCTCGAGCCCCTCCAAGAGGCAGACACTAAAGCAGCCGGACTCCGCACCCGGGTGGATAAACTCAAAGGCGAGGCTGCAAAACCAGGAAGTCCAACTCGCCAAGAAGTATACTTAAAGGGCTGAGGAGGAGAAAGAGGCCCTGGTTAAACAAATGATGGACGACTGTGATGCCATCATGCAACTGACTTTGGGGGCTCTTTTCCCGGATGCTAGCTATGAAGGCTGGAACAATCACTTTGTCGCCGCCTCCCAACAATACAATGATAAACACTTGAACCAAGCTCAAGAGGAAGAGGAGGAGGAGGAGGAGGAGTCTGATTCTACCAAGGATCATAGGGGGGTCCGATCAGGAGGAGGAGCGAGATGGAAAAAAAGACCGGGAGCCGACTGGGGAGGAAAAGGATGCGGCTGTCGATACCGAGAAGCCCCCTCCTGAAGCTTAAGCCTTGTGTTGTTTTTCTGAGGCCTGATGGCCATGTTTTACTTTCTCCGGCCTGCGTGTCGTGTGTTTCCTTGTATCTTTACCGACTAAGGAGTCGAGTTATTTAACAATTCTTGCCGGTTGTACCGATTAACTCTTTTTAGTCGGCAATGAGGTCGACTAAGTTTATTTATGAATCATCTGGCCATTTGGCCGGTTTTGCCATTTCGCAAGATGTCTTTGAATTTTTGCATTTCATAGATTTTAGCTAAGTATTTAACTAGCTTTTTTCTATGAATTTTTTCACTATCTACACTAGTATTAAAATATAAAAGGGCACCGATTCAAAACCCCATATAGCACCGATTTTGAACCGGTGTAGATTTGAGGGATGCCAAAAAAAAAAAAAAAATTAGCACCGGTTCTCTCAAAACCGGTGCGAATAATGGCCCAAAAAAATAAAAACTTTTGGCAACGATTCAAAACCAAAATCGGTACCCTTAATGCCCTAAAAAAAATAAAAATAAAACTTTTGGCACCGGTTTAAAAACAAAACCGATGCCCTTAATGCCCCAATAAAATAAAAAAA